TGGCGCAACACATCATTTTAGATGCAAATAATTCTTCAGATAAAGAATGTACTGTACTTACATTAATGTATGTATCTCAATTGCCTGCAGAACCTATCTGGGATATTGCCACCTTCATTCCTTTTAATTTCTGCAATATTCATCTCTTCCATCTTCATAGATCTGTTCTTTTCATCTGGGTAGCGATCCTGAATCTTTTCCCCTAATATGAGCTCGTGAAAAGTGAAAATTTTATAATGAACTCGTGAAAGATGAAAACTTCACTAAACTCGTGAAAAATGAAAGATTTAACATGAATTTGTAAGTAAAACAAATATTACAATATACTCAAGACAATACCAATTTGCAATGGACATCTTTAGAATTTTTTCAGCATGTTTTTAAGACATCCCGATGAAAAATTTTTCATACATAATTATATATAATTATATAAAATTATATATAATTTGACAAAAATATATAAAAATATATATAATGCGTCATGCAATTATATATAAGTTTCTAAGACATTATACATAATTTTGTATAATGTTGCCTGATATCACCTGGATATAATTACATATAAAGATATTAGGTGGTAAACTTAGTTCCTGCGGTTTTTTGTTTAAAAAACTCATTTATTTCGACATCAAAAGCAAAAAATACATTAATCGAAGTATTTTCCCTCGCTAGCTATACATTTTTCCCATCTTTCGGGCAACGCGTAGATTCCGCGACGATAGAACGATTGGTCTTTTGATGCAATCCATTCGTCGATCCATTTTCGCACATCCTCGTAATTTCTGAAGTGTGTATCCACCAAGCCGTGCTGCATCGACCGGAACAAGTAATAGTCCGAAGGAGCTAAGTCTGGTGAATACGCTGGGTGCGGGAGAACTTCCCACTCGAGCTGCATCAGTGTTTCTTTGACGGCTTTGGCAACGTGTGGTCGAGCGTTGTCGTGCAAAAGCATGACTTTACGTCGATTGCTGGCTACTGCTGGCCTTTTTTCCAACAATGCTTCATTCAGACGGTTTAATTGTGATTGATATCGATCCCCCGTGATACTTTCGTTCGGTCTGAGTAGCTCATAATAAACGACGCCGTGCATATCCCACCAAATGCAAAGCATTGCTTTGTGGCCATGAATATTTCTCTTTGGTGTGGATGTCGATGGTTGGCCAGGGTCTACCCATGATTTTCTTCGTTTAGGATTATCGAAGTATATCCATTTTTCATCGCCAGTCACTATGCGCCACAAAAAACTCTTCTTTTTCTGCCTGGCGAGCAGAGAAATAGAGATGTTTAAGCGATTCGCAATGGCATTTGCGGTTAATTCGTGTGGTACCCATTTTCCCTCCTTTTGAATTTTTCCCATTGCATGTAGACGTTTGGAAACAGCCATCGGAGTAACATTTAATGCTGCAGACAATTCTTGGAGCGTTTGAGTAGAGTTTTCGTCCAATAATGCCTGCAAATCGGTGTCTTCAAACTTTTTCGGTTGGCCTGAGCGTTCTTTATCATTGACATCAAAATCACCACTCTTAAATCGCTGAAACCATACTTGGCATGTTCTTTCCGATGGAGCATAATTGCCATAAGCTTCGAAAAGCAATTTATGAGCTGCAGCTGCAGTTTTTTTCAAGTCAAAGTAATGAAGCAGCACATGTCGAAAAAACAACTTATCACGTTCCATATTTAATCAAAAGAAAAAGTAGCACTGCTCGCTTAAATGAATCTCTTTGCACTGAATTTTATTGACAAATGTCTAACCTCTAAAATGCAGCCAGTCTCAGATGTCAAAATAAATTACACCTACAACTAACGTCATCTAACTGTGAGCCGCAGGAACTAAGTTTACCACCTAATATATACCTATATAAAATTATACAGGGTGTTCGGAAAGTACCGGGACGCCCGAATATCAGGAAAAATATAAGTTTTACAAAAAAATGTTTCAGACAAAAGTTGTGGCGTTTAAAAAGGTGTATTTACTGATCACATCAGTTTGACCTTGGGTTGCGTAGCGAAGGTCAGGTCAAGGTCACATTAATTTTTTTAAATGGAACACCCCATTTTTCATTGCATATTCTTATAGCACATCTCGAGAGCTTTCCAAA